TGGGTGATATGTTCCTCTTTTAAAATAAGGTGAGAATTTGCGTATTTCAATGTCTTTACATAATTCTGTACCTTGATGTGTCTCCTATAGTCCCTTACAAAAATATTCATTCCACTTTGTGGGGTATTTCAGGCGCGGAGGGCGATCGAAAGCTGCTGCTGCTAAAGATGAGTCTGAAGATGAAGATGAAGAGGAGGAGGAGGAAGAGCAGGAAGATGAGCCAGCACCAAGGGTACTTATTGAAAAGCTGACTTCAACTATCCCTAGATCATATTTCAGTAATTAAAAGAAATCCATAACTTTAAAAAACATATATATTATTTCCCTGCTTCCAGGGTCGTAAGAAGACAACCGGGCGAAGAAGATGAGCTGGGGGAAAAACGACGACACGTCTCAGTTGTATTTGAGGAGGAAAGAACATGCGGACATAAAACTTTTTAAACTTTTCATATGCCTTCGCTCCCACTGTTACACCTGTGTACACTCTTGCATATGCCACGTACACACTACATCAGAACATGTGCATCGTCAGCTGTGGATCGTTGCTTCGTGTCGCATTGTGATGATGTTTGCCACATTAGGTAGAAATCATTTTATCAAGAAAACAAAAAAAAATCACTTGTAAATAGTCTTCTGTCTGGTTCATGTTCTGTTGTGTTTGATGCTGACTGGGGGGGGATGATGTCAAGACTTTCCCCACTGTTATAAAAATGTTCCTATTGAAACAATATTGCTTATCACACTTCCTGCTATTTAAAAAAGAATCAGATAATCCCTCAACTTTTTGTGACTGTATTTGTGTCATTTTACTGTTAATGAAATGTTTTTGTTTACAGCTATGTATATTAATACCTTTTTTTTTTACCATGGGCAAAATACTTAAAAAAATGATAAAATGTTCCAAATGTGGAGTTTTCTGGATGTTATTGTAGTGTGCTTTTAATTTTTAGATTTGTTCTCACTGCTAGAAGGAAGTCATGAGCAGCTATGGTTGTCGTGTTTGTCACTGCTGGTTAACTTGGCTTCACATCCACCCAGTCACATCTTCCGTTGTATCAATATGATTCTCTATAAAACCTGAAATGTTTGAATTGTTTTTATTTTGCATAGATGTAATTTATTTTCTTACTTTCATATTCTGCAGTGATGACTTTGTTAAAGTTACCCTAGCCTGGTAAAAAGAGGCGCACTGTTTGCTTTGCTTCGTACTGAGGATCTGGAAAAACGATTGCTTGCAAAAAGCGTGGATTTTGTTGAAGTTCAAATTTTTACCAAGTCGCTAATGTTTAACATTGGCATATGCAATACATCAGTTCAATTCAGAGAGAAGTGCCAAGCTGAATGAGATGGCTGTTAATGTTAATTCAATAATATAACAGACTGAGTGGCCTTGTTCACTTTGTCCACTGCCAAACTACAAAACTGCACAAAATCGACATAATTGTTCAAAACTTCTTGTTCTGTTCACGGATTGGCCCTATTGAAAAATCTACTGGAGAAATCCATCTCAATGGGAGAAAGTCCAGAAGGAGCACTGAAAGGAGATGAGAATCAAATGGAGTTGAGCAGGAATGCAATGACCAGGCTAAAGTTGCCCTGAGCTAAACAAAACTTGCCTAATATCATCCCTCCCAGGGCTTTGCCATAGAAGAACTTTCTAACGCCCTGGTTACTTCAGCGCCACAGATTTGACAGCATGACGCAAAATCTCCACTCCCCATTTTCTTTCTGGCAGACATGCCAAGGGGATTTAGGAGGTCTTTAAAGCATTCTACCCACAAACCTACCATGTCCCGAGTCAGGATCTGCAGTACACTACACTAACAAGCAGTATTGGTGGTGCACCGTCTCCCTCTCCTGAGACGCTGGATAGCTGACCAGAACCTCCTCAAAACTCGATAGATCTGCTAAATTCTTCCTACGCCTCAAATGTTTGCCTCTGTAACAATCCAAGCCACATTCCACTTATAGTACCGAGACCTGTCGGCTGCTTCTGGCATCGCTCAACACAGGTATCTACCCATGGATACCTGTGGATATTGAGCGAACAACACCTTGCTGCCACCTCAAAAATAGAGACTCAAACTTGATGTGCTCAAAACTGCCATTGGTGGGAGATAAACTCCATCTGACTGGAGAATCTACCAGATGTCCCCAGAAACCATATTAGCACAAAAGTTCAATAACACTATCATCGGGTTCAGATCCTCTATGTCTTACTGTTGTCAACATGAGTGTTGAAGTGCTTGAGCAGAACAACGGAGTCCCTGACAAGAGCGCTCACTCCTCCAAGAACTCAACAAAGGGAAAGGTAACTTGCCCTACTTTACCACACTTATGACCTCTCCCTCCACACATAAGCAGAAGAAGGTTACCTTCTTATTCTGGTGTACATACAGGCACAAGAAAGTCCACTCCTGCTCAGAACCTCTCAGCAGGGACAACTGCAGAGTGGAAGAGTGTCCAACCCATCTCGAGGAGACCGGTTCCAGAGTTGTTCATCAAGGCAAGTCCAACTTTATCTTGCTGAATCCAATCAACCTCACCCACTAGTTCACTTATTGCTGCTGTGGTAACTAGCAGTTCCTCTAACTGAAAATTAACCTGTTGGCTCACAGTAAATAATTATGCAAATGTAAGCAAATATGCTAACATCAAAATGGATAAAAGCAGCTTACACTATGTAATTAGTAGCAAAATATATGTAAAACTTATCTTTTTTAAGAAAACACAACTTTCATGTGTAATTGAGTTCTATTAGGAAAGTGTAACTCTATAGTACTGACACTTGAATTTTTGAAGAGTGAAACTTTATTTTGGCTCCATGGTTAATTGCTATCCCTGTTAATTCCCGGTTTAGACCTTGTTAGTGCATTTGAAAACTATTAATAATGTAACATTGTCAAGACTATCAAATTCCACTGTTTAATTTTCTTGACAGGAACTAATACTATGCATAATAAAAAGGAAACATATAATATTTTAGTTTTAATATACAGTTGGTTCTTCTATCTACCAGTTCCAATGAGTAGCTCGTGTGCTTTGACAGTGCAACTGACTGAGCACCGATATTATTTGCTTTGCGTACTTTGTGTATGACTGTCACTAACCGCCCACCATCAGGCTGCCAGGCATCTCTCAATGATGTTCATCCTGTGTCATAAAATTACCTGTTCTTCATGCTAAAGCAAACGATTCCACTTGAGTTTTAAAATTTTCCACTGCACCTTGGCAGAATGGAAAACAACACCTACACTTGTGTGTTTTTTCCCCCGGTCATAATCCGTGACTAGCTCTATAATCCTGTGCTGCTCTGCTGCCTTTCTAACTAGCAGCAGTAAATGACTACAGTTATTATTCCAGACCTTCACTGAGCTGAAAATGTCTGAAAACCATAAAACACACACAGTGTAAACTTGGACATCATAAAACTGAGAACAGCTTGTAAAAATGTGCACATATAACAACAGAGGTATTTTTTTTTGTCTAAGAAGAAATGCAGTAAAATTTTTATTTTGATTCATTTTAATTTATTGCATTAAAAATGTAAAACATTGTCTTGCAATGGTTTTATTTAAAGTGACAGGTTAATAGGAAGACACAAAAAAAGTGCATTTATGTAAGTAAACATGGTTGAGGCTGGTAAACATATGAGAATAAACACTATTATATGGGGGGGTAAAATCAAAACATGTTTATCTGTCAGAATGATCCAGTTGAAGTACACATCAAATTAAGAATCTGGAAAAAGACTGGATAATTTATCCACACTGCATCATTTACCTGTTCACTGATCCTTTCAATCTGACTGAGCCTTAGCTGTTTTGCAAAGTAAAATGGGAAAACATTTCATCCTCATGATGCGGAAAGAAGGTAGACACATATACATGAAGTCCTGCAGCTGAACTTGTATTTACAAAGAAATTAAGGAAATACAAATGCACACCACTTTTTTTTTTAGAACCCCCCCCAAAAAAATAGAAAACCATGTCTCCTTTTCTTTCTACTTCACAATCATGTTCCAGATTTCAATACTTCTGAAGGGCTCTACAGACTGTCTCTGAAGTTGTGACTTATTTATACGTTATCTCAAATTCATACTTGTGCAACTTTATATTTTTTATGTTGTAATACAAAGTGGATAGCTGATCATATCTTCAGCAATTACCCAGTTTACTTGAAATGTAATCTATAACAAAACTAAGATTCCACACTGACTGCATCATTTACCTGATATTTATGAAGTATTCACAGACAGCCTCAAAATAGTTTTTTTCTTATTCTTCTTTATTAAAACAATTATTATTTGTGATTTCTTTCCTCTTTGGCTTTCTGCTTTAGCCTTCTTTCCTGGCAGGTAAAATTTGTACCATTTTTGAACTGCAGTGATAGTCCACATAAAATCATTCTGGTGTCCTCAAAGGGCTTGCGGGCCGCAGTTTGAACCCACATAATATCAAATTTCTATCTACTATTGTTACATGTTAGCCATTAAACTTACCTGCTTTTTAATTCTAGCACAAACAGACTCCCACTCTTCCTCGGAAGCTGTGTATGGAAGAGGCCTGGGTTTCCAAGCAACCGAGTGATAATCAGGACGATAAGAGCCTGATGTGATCATGATGCAGCAGGGCGCACTTAGTGATCTGCCAACCTGAGCGAACCAGGACCAGTGATGGAAATGCAGATGGATTCTATTTTTATGTTGCATTAGAATGCAGGTAGGAGATCATCTGCCAGCTGAGGTAGCGTAATGGAGCTGTTTACCACAATGAAAGCCTCTCCGCCAGAGGCTCATTTTTTTCCTGATGTGTGAAATTATGATTTAATTCGATTAGAATAATAATTTAGGAAGAAATGTATCAAATTAGCGTCTTAAATGATCAGTGATGTGTCCCTGTTGAAGCATCGATCATTGTGGCCCTCAGCAGCACGCTGCGCCTCCAGGCCTTCGTGCGTCAGGTGCTCTCGTTAATAAATGACAGGTTTGGAGAGGCATGCATTGGTTCACAGCTGACTGGCTGCTCTGCGCGGAGTCCTGTTTAAGTTTCCAGGCATGGCGAGGTGAAGGTCACTCAGATCAGAAATCATGAGTGGGCTTTTCGCCCTCTTGACATTTCTCGCCCTTAGTTCTGCAGACGCGAAGCCCAACGCTGGGTTGAAGACGTGGGGCCGCTTCAGTAAGCTCCCCTACCCAGGAGACAAGGCTTTCCTCTACGATACCTTCCCCAGCGGCTTCATATGGGCGGTGGGCACGGCGGCGTACCAAGTGGAGGGGGCGTTCGAGAAGGACGGAAAGGGGCTCTCCATCTGGGACACCTTTACGCGCGGCGGGAACCGCATAGCCACCGGGGACGTGGGCAGCGACAGCTACCACAACATCCACGCTGACATCAGAGCAATCCGCCAGCTCGGGGTGACCCACTACCGGTTCTCCCTCTCCTGGTCCAGAATCTTTCCAAACGGGACCCGCGGAAGCTACAACGAAATCGGCACCAACTACTACCGGACGCTCATCAAAAGGCTGAAGGAGATCCGCGTCCAGCCGGTGGTCACCCTCTACCACTGGGACCTACCCGAACACCTCCAGCTGAGCCTGGGCGGCTGGAGCAACCCGGAGCTGGTGGAGATTTTTAAGGATTATTCTGATTTCTGTTTCCATGAGTTTGGGGATGACGTGAAGTACTGGATCACTATCGATAACCCGTTTGTGGTTGCGCAGCACGGATACGGAACCGGGGTGGTCGCTCCCGGGATAAAGAATGACCCCGATCTCCCATTTCGGGTTGGACACAACTTGCTCAAGGTTGGTTAAAGATATTTCTGATTTTACATCTTATATAGTCCATCTAACAAAGTCCTACCAGGTTTAATATCACTTTAATTCAATCAAGAAGTTTGCTTATGAGAGGAAATGACATGCATCATACATCAAAAGATGACAAAACAAGGAATATGAAATCTAAAACAAAACAAAAACAAAACTGTTTTTATCTATGATAAATAAAAATGTGTATTGAAAATTAGCAATGGTGTCCAAACACAATTTTAGTTGAAAGAGTAATAAGAAGTCCTGTCTGCAGTTTACTAATCCAAATAAGAGGCACAACAAACATGAAAGAAAGGCTCTGAAATGAAACATTTTGGCCTGCATGCAGAAATACCAACACTGCATAGTGAAAACATCATTCCTGTCTTGAAACATGGGGATGGCAGTCTTCTAATGTGAGGTTGTTTTTCCTTAGGCCAGGATAAGGAAGCTGGTAAGAGATGATGGGACTAAATGCAGGACAATCCTGGAGGATAAAATACATTACATTCACCTTCCAGCAGGACAACAACCCTAAACATACAGTCAGAGCCACAGTGAAAGGTTTAGACCAGGAATGTCAAACTCCAGTCCTTGAGGACTGGTGTCCTGCAACTTTCAAATGTGTCTCTGCTGCACCACACCTGAATAGAATAAGTAGGTCATTATCAGGGCTCTGGAGAACTTATCTACACAAGAAAGAGGTAATTAAGCCATTTAATTCCGGTGCTTTGTCCGTGTGGCACATCTAAAAACTGCAGGCCCTTGAGGCCTGCAGTTTGACGCCTGTGGTTTAGACGAATCAGTGTCTTAAGTCTAAATAAGAATCTGTGGCAAGATTTAAAAGTCGCTGCAATCAGATACTCTACATGCAGGCTGACTGAGGTTGTTATTGATACATCCACCTACTTTTAAGTTAAGACTGAAACATGGGAGACGTAGCTCTATCACAAAGAGCCCAAAATATTTTTATTTCTAAAAAAAAAACAAAGAAAAGCATGTGTCATTTTGCTTCTGAGTGTTTGGTCTATCACCTTAAATCTTAAACCAAGAGTCTTTGGTTTTAACAAGAGTGCACAAGTCATTGCAGCAGTTTCCAGTTACCTGGCTCCACGAGTTATACTATTATCAGTATTATTTCACAGTTAATAAATGTCAGTAGTTTCCTGCCTTTATTTGATTGCTGGCATCTCTTTGTCTTCCAGGCTCATGCAGCTGCATGGCATCTCTACAACCGCCGTTATCGGCCTCGGCAGCAGGGAAAGCTCTCCATGGCGCTGGCCTCTCACTGGATCAAGCCCCGCCGAACCCACCTGGAGAGCCTGCGGGAGTGTCAGTGCTCCCTGGACCACGTCCTGGGCTGGTTTGCCCGGCCGCTGTTTGCAGATGGAGACTACCCTCCTTGCATGAGGGAGCGGCTCGGCTCGCGCCTACCGTCCTTCACCCAGGAGGAGAGGGAGCAGGTGAGGGGAACTGCTGACTTCTTCGCTCTCTCCCATGGGGCTACGCTGAGCTTCCAGCTCATCAACGACAGCCTGAAGTTTGGGCAGCTGGAGGACCTGGACCTGAGGATGCTTCTCTACTGGATCAATGCAGAGTATGACAAACCACCCATCTTTGTGGTGCAGAATGGTTGGTGAGTTGGCATTATATGCTATTTTTCTTTCCCTAGGAGAATATTTGAGGGGTTTGATATGTTTTGCATTGGCAGTGTTGAACCAAGTTTTCATTTGAGACAGGTACGTCCTTGGGAAAACTAAGACAGAAGACCCAAAACACATGTACTACCTCAAGAGGTTCATAGCAGAGGCACTTAAATGTAAGTCTACTTGTTCCTGATGACAGCAAAAAAATGTTTCATTTATTCACATATTTAGTGATAAATAATATTCATTTCTGATGTGTTTGCTGTCCAGCAATCATCATCGATGGCGTGAACATGATTGGATACACAGCCTGGTCCCTTATTGACGGCTTTGAGTGGCACAGAGAATACGGGATTCGCCGTGGACTGTATTACGTTGACTTCAACACTCCTGACATGAAGAGGGAGCCAAAGACATCTGCTACCTTCTACAGGTTGCCTACATACATGAATGGAAATGACTGTTTTGTTTTTTTTGGTGACATAAGCGAACAAGTAAAATATGTATGATTCAATTTGTGCTTAAGCTGTTCCATCAGGATTCTCTTCTGTTTGATAGAAAGAATACTATTTTTGGTTTGTTGTCACATTTAAATATTTCAGATCATCAAAAACATTTTAATGCCAGAAAAATATAAGATTTTTGGGATCTTTGACAAGGACAAAATCAAAACCTTAAATTCAGAGGGTTTCTACTGACGTGTTTGAGATGATTGTTCTGCAGTATAACCCAAGTGTGTAGGAGCTTCCTGGTTCCATTAGTTACTGCATGCTGTGCAGTGCTGAAGCCTGTGTGATGGTCTGAATCCCCAGAGCATCACACTAGCGCCACCATGTTTGATTGTCAGTATTTTGTTCTTTTTCTGAAATGTGTTAGTTTTAAACCAGAAGTATTGTGATACCCACCTTCCAGAATTCCACTTTTGTGTTATTATTCCACAGAATATTTTTACAGAAGTCCAGACATTCGTTTGGGAAATGTGAGGCGGTTTTTGTGTTCCTTTTGGTCACCACTTGTTTTCACTGCTGAGCCTGCAATGGAGATAATTTGAATCATTAACTTATCTAAGGCAAATGCGATCTCCATATTCTTTAAATTGTTATTTATGTACTGCTTTGGAAGATCTTTTAATATTTTAGTTCTTTAAAGGGGATTTCTTGATTTTACAGGCCATATACTGGTCAGGCCTGGATAAGCTAATGAAATAACAGAACATTTTGCTTTAACAAATACGTTCAGGTTAGTTTGGATCGTAAATGCAATCGTGATTTACTTGTTTTAGTCAAATTTCTTTGACGATTTGAAACATTTTAATACGTTTTTTTTTAATCATTTCTACAGAAACGTCATCCATAGGAATGGATTCCCTGAACTTCCAGAGTACAGACCAGCACAAGGAATGTTCCCATGTGATTTTGCTTGGGGTGTATCGGCCAACTCCATCCGGGTATGTTAAAGTATGTGCATTTTGAACAGAGCACAGGAAGAATGTTTCCTAAGAAATGGGACTTCAATGAAATATGAACTTCCATGTGGATCTCATATTAGGTAAAACTCACACATTGTTACTGTAGACGAGTATTTTACTCAAAATCCACTTTTTTTTAATCGTCCTGGTTTGAAGCTGTTGTGATGGTAAATATATGGCTTTTTAGCTTGCAGTTAGTTGTCTTGGTTTAAAGTCCAGCTGAGTTGCAGGAAAAACATCTGATCCTCTCTTAATCATAAACCTCCTAAACTCCCATTTTGGCAGCTTGGCTAAGCGGGACTGGACCAGCTGTCATTGATTTATCCTATTTGGCCTGTATTTGCACTGGTGTGTATTACCCGAGTGTAAGCAAGTGTGTGTTTGTACTAGTGTTTGTTTGTCCTTGTGTCATAGGTGGAGACAACTCCCACCCAGTTTGCAGATCCCAATGTTTACTTGTGGAACATTTCCAACAACGGAGAGCTGATCAAGCTGGAGGGATTCAGTGCGCCACCTTTACACCGAGCCACGCATTGTGCAGATTATGCCACAATCCGGCAACAGGTGAGCCTGCCAAACATTTCCCAGTTGGCCAGCTTTAAACTGAGAAATAAATCCAGAGTACTGGATGTGTTTTACATGAGCATTTTGATGCCGATTTGTCTCTTCTTATCTTAAAGTGACTGTTCAGAAAATCCTAATTGTTAAATTAGTTTGAACGTCTTTTTGGGAGAATAGGTTTTTATCTTTGTCTTTTCTTCCATTGTGTAGTATTGACATTTATTATTGCTCGACTTTGTCAGTTGAGATAAATAACTGCAAAACAAAAAGTTTACTTTAATGAAAAGTTCTAAACTGTATCTGTTTAACTGACTGTTTTTATTCCTCCCTTATTTCAGGTGGATGAAATCAGGCAGGTGGGCGTAAACCACTTCCACTTTTCCCTCAACTGGTCTGCTCTGGTGCCTACAGGTGACGTGGCTTATCCCAACTCCACCCTGCTGGGATATTACCGCTGCTTCACCCGTCAGCTGGTGCAGGCCAACGTCACACCTGTGGTCACCCTTTGGCACCACACACGGCAGCGCAGCAACATGCCAACCCCGCTTGACACTGCCAACAAGTGGCTCAACAGGTGAGACGATTAGCTAATTATTTTGATGCAGATATTTTAAAAACAATTTCATTGAACTAGTGCATAGCTTCCTTTCAATACTGTGATGTGGGCTGCAGTATATTCTGATTTGCAGAAAATACTGAATATATTCATAACTGCAACAGAGTTTGCAAATGTAGCAATAATAACCTGATAGTAAGCTGATTAAATGTCATCCTACCCAGACCCAATCCTCTCTGTTTGCACCGATGAACATTTACTCATGTCCACCTGCTAAATGCTTGGATCTAGTCCAACTGTCAGCAACTAGCTGGTAGTCATGGTAGATAAATTGGAGGTTGTTAATAAAAAAGCTAAATTTCTACCTAAATTTAAATTTCTCAAGACTGCACATAAAACCTGAGTATTAGCATTTTGTTTTGTTCAAAATGTACTTGCAGATGTTTTACCTGACAATATGATATTTTTTCGTCAGTAAGACACCAGAGGCCTTTGCAGACTATGCCAGGCTTTGCTACAGAGAAATGGGGGCCTATGTAAAGATGTGGATCACCTTGAATGAACCCAATGATGAGATGGTGAGCTATCAGGAGGGCCACAAGATGCTGAGGGCACATGCTCTGGCCTGGCGCGCCTACGATCAGGAGTTCAGACATACGCAAAGAGGACAGGTCAGTAAAACACTTGTGCTAAATAACTCGCCATTTAAAGTTTCAAATGTATCTGTTAAAATTATGCACTTTCCTAGGTATCTCTGGCTCTGCACATGGACTGGGTGGAACCGGCATTTTCCTTCAGCCGAGAGGACGTGGAGCCGGCGAAAAGGGTTTTGGATTTCAACGTTGGCTGGCTGGCCGAGCCGATCTTTGGCAGCGGTGATTATCCTGTGGGAATGAGGAACTGGCTGCGACAGCTCAACTCACTTGAGTAAGAAGAAAGAAAAACCCTGCCTCTTTTTTATTCTTCACCTTTTTAGCTGCAGTGTGTTAATGACTGGATACAAAATCTTAAATCGGATGAAGCATAGAAAAGAAAAGTGTCGCCTCTCCCCCATTTGTTTCTGAGCGCTGATTTTATGCTGCCAGAACAAAGGTTCCTACACTTCCATCTTTGTTTTAGCTGTTTGGATGTCATTTCCAGTCATAGTGTGGAAACTAAAGAATAACCTATTTAAATATTACACATTTTATTTACATATTCTTATAGAGATGGGCTAATCATCTCGTGTCAGATTCCTAGACTTCCAGTGTTACTCTAAAAGAGGCAGAACAAGGTTTGTCATTCTGTACTTGAAACATACGTCAAAATTATATTAAGCAATAATGTATAGTTTTTTTTAATCAAAATAAAAAAGTAAATAACTTTGCACATGACATCAGTAATACATGACACTTATCAAGTGACATGTTTCACTGCTGCAATTTAGCATAATAATGGTATGTTGGTGAGTCAGGAAGATAGATGCATTTTAAATAAGTTTGTTACTTTCTACATTAATAAAGGTTTCCCAAATAAATGTGAAAAAAAGGCAAAAATGTCTGCAGCTATTTTCTTTGAAAAGTTACATGAAAAGGTTTCTTGAATGTCATGTAGCAAATCAGAGCAGTTATTGCTTGCTGATGGTCTCCTTGCTATTTTGAAGAATTGCACAATTCAAACAGATGAATTGTGGAAATCTAATAGGCAAAAAATGGGCAACTTTACACTATATGCTGGTAACGCATGGGTACCGCTTTTGTCTACTGTTTTACTCTTTCTTTTCTTATTGAAACAGATTGCCTGTTTTTAACAAGGAGGACATGCAGCTGGTCAGAGGGACTTATGACTTTTTCGCTATGAGTCACTTCAGTACCAAGCTTGTAACTCATGCCAAGGAGGACTCGTAAGTTAAAACCATTTTTCTGCTCCTATCATTTACATTTCATCTAATACAAGCACACTGAGCAAAAGTGGAGTAAAAACCTGACTCCTGTTTTGACCTTTGTGTGACCTCCATGTGAGCAGATACACCTACACAGAGATGCTTGAGGTTCAGCACATGATAGACACAACATGGATCATGTCTCCCAGGCCCGTCGTGCCCTGGGGGCTGAGGAAGGCTCTAAACTGGGTAAGACTGGGTGACTTTGTTCTTAGCAGTGCCTTCATACAAAGAGAACAACATTTAAATGAGGAAATGTCCAATTGTTACATTTGCTCTTTCTATGTGAAGGTAAAGCAGCACTACAGTGATGTACCCATCTATGTAATGGCTAATGGAGTCCAGGAAGACCCAGCCCGTTTCAAAGACTCCCTACGAGTTTATTACCTCTACAACTACATTAACGAGGCACTTAAAGGTAGAACTAATGCAGCAGTTTTCACATATTTATATTTTAACTGGTGAATGTATCATACAAGAGATTTGGTCTTTAAAACAGCTGAATCTTGTCCCTTACTGGCCTCTGTAGAGAATAATTAGAGAGGAATTTACTGACCCCTGACGGGTATCAGCTGACTCAAAGAAAACCTTCAGCATTCACCAATTTGTTGAGTAACAGGTGCTTTCTGTGTAGTTATGGTGCCTTTTTAAAAAGTTTTAATATATATAATTGTTTTTTATGCTGTGTAGTTATGGTGCCTCAAAAAAGTATTCACACCTTCTTGCCTCATGGATGCAAACCTTAATGTATTTCCAAAGGATTTTATGTGATGATTAACACAAACATGGAAGGAAAATAAAACATTTCTACTTTTTTGTCACACTCAGCATTTACTCTGGATGGTGTCAACCTGAAGGGTTACTTTGCCTACGCCCTGAACGACCAAAGAGACCCGGGGTTTGGCTTTTATGGTCAGGTCCACGACGAGGTCATCGTCAAGGCCTCCCTTTCCAACTATCGCAACATCATCCAGCACAACGGGTTCCCCATTCCCGGAGCGTCTCCACAGCAGTGTCCCGCACTGCTAGAGCCCTGCCCCGACTGCCACATCCTCATCAGGAGGCCTGTCGTGGGCTTCTTGACTCTAGTGGGCTCAGGAATTCTGATTACTCTGGGTCTCATCATTTACTACACCGCCAAGAGACACAAGGAACATTACTGAGGATGGGATGCAGACTGGGCTGCTGGTTCAACAGTTATGTGACTGCCAGGTATTTATAGGCATGGGCCCTTCTATAATCCACATAGGCGAGATGATTTTTTTCAAAATAAAAAAAAGGCTTAATATATATAATTGTTTTTTTTTATGAAACAAAAGAAATTTCATAATAAAAGTTGTATAATATTATGTACTTATTCATGGCTGCTAGGATTTTCTCAAACAGAAAACATGTAGACTAAACATACTACAATTTATTCAAATGACTGAAGAGGTTTTTGGCATTTGGCCCTCTGGGGTAACACAAATCTAACAAGCTGATGTTAATTAATAGAACAGATTTTGTAGACTCATCATCACAGCATGATGCTGTGCTGCCACCATGTTTTACTGTTGAGAGGGTGTGATCAAAGGTCAAACACTTTGACCTTTGGTCTCCCCAGATCCAAGGAACATCCTTCGCATGTGTGCTGTATCCTCTGTATGGCTTGCAACAAACTGCAAATTGGACAATTTATGGCTTTTTTAAAATCAATAGTAAGTCTTTGCTCACAAACTGTAATTTTAAAACATTTTCCTCCTGACATATGGGTGATTGTGCAGCACTCCTTCAGCAATGGGACATCTTGAAATAGGTACTTGGTCCATGCCTATTTGTTAGACTTTTGGTGCTTACATATTTATCTTAAATTGTAATTTATTAGTTATTTAAGCAGTGTCTCAAAGACCTATAGACACTGTTGTAAGACATGCTATGAGTAAGCATAATTTGTGAATAAATTAAATTTTAATTCATTAAACTAAATGGGGCTGAACTTCAGTGTCAAGAATAAGCAGTTCTTGTAACATGGAGAAGCAGACTTTACATGTAGCTAACATGGTTATTTATTTTTACCATCTCTGAACATTATAATACATTCCCCCACATTCCCAGTTCCATCTTGTGTTTTCCATTTTTATAAGCTCAATGGTTATGTAATTTAACAATAATTACATAAACTCAAACTGCTATAAACTGTTCCAAATTATGGCCCAAAACCCTTGAACTTAAAACATCATGGCGTCCAGGCCGTCTTCCATAAACTTCTTGTACATGGCCATGAACTTTGCAATAAACGCCTCCAGGTGGTAGATGGCTTTGCTGCCCAGTTGGAGTCGGTGCTCATAGTAAGCAGCCAGGTGGGCCACCTCTGTCTTTAGCTGTCCATCGCAGTTATTCAGCAGTTCTTCCACTAAACCCTGTTACATGAAAGCAGAGGGTAAATTTTTGTTTGATTTGAAAACTAGTTTGAAATCTCCTGTTACAGGGAAGAAAAATTGATCATGATTTAACCTTTATGATGATATCAGGAGGGATGCAGTGTGTCAGCAGCTCATACAATCTGGCTCGAACCTCCAACAATCTGAAACACGGAAAGAGGGCTCCTGCATTTGAACATCTTACAGTCTGACTCAGATCTTCCTAAACCCGACTACATCTACTCTACACAAACACATTTTCCATCATACCTTTGAGGACTCTGCTGGCTGACAATGGCATTAGCAGTTTCTCTCAGATAGACCTCCCAGTCCGGCTCTGGCACATCCTGATCTGCTGAGAATGGATACCTGTAGAATGTCACCACGAGATAAGTGAGCATATATTTCTGCAAAATATTCATGCAAAACATTGTTGTGGAGACACAACTCACTGTTGCACTCTGCACGCCTCACACATCAGAAGAGCTCTGCGGAGGTTGCGACCTGACTTTTCGCTGATCTGCTTGGCCAGCTCAGGCGGCAGCAGCAGACCTTCCTTTTTACAGACCGACGTCAGAACACTGCACACCTGTGAAAACAGAAGATAACAGAAGGTAACAAATCAACAATCAATGGCAAAAAAATCCAAAAAGATATATTTCTGACTCAGACAATCTAAGAATAATTAAAGATTAAAAATATAACTTGCTTGTAAGATTTACCAAGAAAATGTCTTTCATTTAAAAGAATTTAACAAAATTATTCAGGTTTTCAAAGTTACACAAATGCAAGATTGCTGAAACAATTTTGTGAATAATCTTTGGAGAAAATAGATTAAAAAATGGACAGATTTGACAAATTTAGAGATTGGTAAAGACCAGGTCCTATTTATAATGGATCCCTTTTATAATCTTATTTCCCAATTATTAAATTCTAATTAAGTTCCAAGCTCCTTTTTACCTCTTCTGTGCTCGGCAGAGGAACTCTGACAGCCAGACATCGGCTCTGGATCGGCCCAATGACCTTTGACGTGGATGTCGAGCAGAGAATGAGACGACAGGTAGCCATATACTTCTCCATTGTGCGCCGCAAGGCATGCTGAGCATCTTTAGTAAGTCTGTCCACCTCTGTAAGCAGCACCACTGGGAGAAAAGAAAATCCTTTTTTTGAGACGGATTATTATTTCTAGGAAGCTTTACTCTCTTAGCACACGCTAACTCTCAGAGATAGTCTCTTCAACCTTTGAACTCTCTCTGAGTGCTGGACTGGATTTGCTGGGACTGGGCCACAGTTTTAATCAACTCCTGGATCACCACACGATCCTGGTTTCCTGCATCGCTGGACAACAAAAACAATGTTTCATGTTACATTGTGTTCCCTCTGCACAGCAACAAAAACGGCACTTTTTTTTTTTTTTTTTTTAAAGGAAGCATTAAACCATGTAGAAGTTTATATTACCTTGGGTTAACCTCTAAGTGATAGTTGCTGGATATTGTGTTGATCTCAATTTTCTTTTTTGACGGAGCCTGAAGTAAAAGACAAAGCAAACATTTCAAGTGAATATATATCAACATGTTCAACATTATATTAGATATTATGTGTAATGTCTAATCAGGAGAATCGCAGTACTAGAATAGTGATACTGTTGAAGAAAAGTGAAGAGACTAAGGAAGCTCAGGTGAGATCTTCAGTTAGTTTATTTAAATATGTATTAACTTGTTATTGCTTTTTAAAGAAACTAAAACTGCTCTTTGTATTATGAAAAAAGCACATCAAGGCAGAGATAGGAGAGTGGAACTTCAGGGTGTGAAGATATAAAAATCATATAAATTATTTTAACTTTCAACATTTTTTTCCATTCTTTCCACACCATTCATAAGGGTAGCTGTTAGGATATGATTAGGTTATCAGCTGCAGTGGAACGCCCCACTAGTATTCAAAAATACTTTATTAATCCCAACAGGAAATTAAATGTTGTTGTAACCAATTACTTAAGATTCTTCAAAGAGTTATTGAAGGTGCATGCTACACATTTTATATTTTGTAAGTTTAGGAGCAGCAGAGGAGAGAGAACTAGTAACTAGTTACATCTATTCAATTACATATCCTTGAGTAACTTTTTTGAAAAAAAAAAACAAAAAAACTTTTAGGAGTATTTTTACTATACTGTACTTTTTACTTTTACTTGAGTAATTTTATTATGAAGTGTCACTACTCTTTCTTGAGTAAAATTCTGGATTCTCTACCCACTGAATAAAAAACAAAAAATTCACCAGATTCAGACACACCTGCAGTTTTTGTTAAAGTTTCAAGAAAGTAACTGATTTTGAAAAATTTTCTTTTGCCTGATTTTTTTATTCCTTATAGAAATTGTCATTTTCTTCCTTAAAATTAAAAAATTTCCACATAACTTTATATTTTGGTCTGATTATGTAATTGTTAAATATTAAATGATTGATAATTTGATAATGTACTGTAAGTGTTGGAGACCCATCATGAACTGCAGGTTCTGAAAGTGTTTTTGTTTTAATAATTCTCCTCTCACCACAATAGTTTGTTGCTCTATGCGAAGCTTCTCCACCCCTGGTCCATACAGTTCTCTCAGCAAACACATAATGCGGGTTTTTTTTCCTGCTCCTGATGGTCCGTACACCAACAAGTGAGGAAAGTCGCCGCACTGAACCTGGAACATTAAAAAAATGTTTAGTACCTGTGGGTATCCTATTTTTTGAAAATATGTTTATAACAGAAATAATACTGTTAAATGAACCAAATTCACCAAATCAATTGGGTTTACTGTAGTTTCTTCAATATGATTACAGCAACATTAACTATAAAAAAAACAAACATTTATACCTTCAAACATTCACATAGTTCCTACAATCTTGTTTATTAAAGAAACTAAGCGTGAAAATACCATCTAGGGGGATTTTTTTCTCACCAACAAATGTACATTTAAAATGAAAAACACTGTTGGGTAATGAAGAAAGGATTTACACTGCAGGATTTTACAAAAAAAAAAAACATTCTCTTTATCCTTTGTGTATTTCACTTGATGACATTTCCATAAACCTTAGACAGTTGATCCAGAGACGTGTGTAAACTTTCCACCTGACTGTTTCATGTTTGTAAAATAACTTAAGTACGACTTGTCTCTTCGATCAGTTGTTTCTGTGTGCTTGTTTTTTTAAGGACAAGTTTGACCTTCTGTAGAAGGGATGAGGGTGTTACAGATAATGGATGGATGGAGGTTTGACCTTGAATAAATAGAAATTTACAACAAAACAAATGGAGCTGGCTAGTGGCTATAAAGCTTTCTAGAACCGAACAATATCCGGAGTTACATTTTTACTAAACGTCGTCAGCGTTAAATTTACGCTCAGAGTTCATATGATTTAGAGGTTAATATTTCGTTAACATAGCAGTAGTAATATTTTTATGGTAAAATAATGCTACCATAACAGGCTATAGCTAGCATGTGGATAAAAGGCTAGCTGCTCTCACCAGGTTTTTCAGATGAGCCGCTTGTTCTTTGTGATAGTCAAGTTTCCCAAGGGACGTCGGTCGATATTTATCCAGCCACAAACTCATTGTGTGAAGACTTTAGTGTAATTTTTACCGTCACTGTTTACAGGCAGCCCGTCTGCAGCTAATCTCCCGCGAAATGTTTTCTTAAATGTAATCAACCGCGCTGCCTCACTTCCTGTGCCGCGGTACGGAGACTCCAAAGAGACAAAAATCTCTAAATGTGCCACGGCCCGTCATGTAACTGAAACAGGCTTGCTGACTCGCTTTGAGTTGCACTGGACTGACTGCAAGGACAGAAATAGCCCCCCTGCTGCATTGTTAAATATAATGTGAGTTCATTTACTTTATATACTTATCAGAGACCGTTGTTATAAAATGCTTGTCAGAAAATTTCAAATGCTTCCCCTGAAGTCCAACAAAATCAGCACCGTGGTTCTTCCACTGTCTGCATTTCAGTGGATGTCATTTAACAGTTTGACATTGACGATGGCTGCCTGCCTCAGCCAGTGATAACGGCTAACAAGGTATTTAACTGTACATTTTTCAATCACTTTTCTCTTATGAATGAAAGGTTGAAGATTGACCTGTAATTCTCCAACAGCTACTTTTCTAGATTTTTAAAAAATGGTTTTATTATTGATGTTGTTAAAGCCTAGGAGACAACACCTGATAAGAGTTTAATATTTGAATTGGATCAGTTGGAAAGTTCATTGCAAGCCCTGGTAGAGTGTAATTCAGACGCTCCAGTCACGGCTTGTCAATCTTTGTTCATTCAGGTAAAGGCAAACAATTATGTTTACACAACAGCTCACAGCCATCCTTTTATTTTGACAGCATGGATCTTTTGCATGAAACAATCTGATAAGATAAAGAAAAAAAAGACAGTTAATCTGCATTGGAAACAAAACGACGCACTGATATTGAGCTAATCTTACCATTTCATCATGAAAAGGCATGAGTAGAGATTTAATGAAATTCTTTGTCCAGGTCATTATTTCACCTTGGTTGGCATATTCTTTGTTCGATAGAAGGAAGTATGTAAAAATGTACATTTACATTTAAATCCAATCATTTTCTGGTTCAAAGATTCAGTCATTGTATTCTTCCTCCCATTCCACATGGCACAGAATGTTAATTTTATTTCCTGCACACACTCCCTGCCTTTATCTTCTAAAATCTATGAAATGATTGTTGCCAAAACGTTGATTCTGACGTTTTTTACACATCCCAGACATGCTTTCACAATAACATGGCTTACACACAACTTGCGCTGATTATTTTTCACATTTTTTTCCCTTTACAACCAACTTTCTTTCATGCATTTTATGTGATTGACCAACACATAGGGGCAATGAGTGTGTGGTAGAAGAAGATTATGCTTTGGCTCAAAAAATTTTTTTCTCCAATATCTAAAAAGTGTTGCGTGTGTTTATATGCAGCTGCCCAAAAGCATAAACATTTATATAAAATATATACAAAATAAAAAAAATTCAATTTTTAGCTAGTCTCTCTGATTTGGTGAAAAGTTGTCTATTCTTACCTGTTTCTCCATTTTATACACCTTTTCTCTGCTTTGTTTCTGCATCTGTTATACTAACTATTCTAGATAAACTTGATTCTTTGCAGTCTTTGTAGTTATTTATCCAATGCTGCAACCTGTTCTCCTCTTCACCTTTTTTCCACCTGGCTGAGGTAAATATGCCTCTCTGTGACAGGAATGTTATATATGTAGCATGTCTGAGCAGGTTAGCGTAGCTTGCACTGAAACACATTCTTGGATTGTATTAATGCAGCAGAATCATCTCAGTGGCAATATGTAAAAATCTGGATATTTGAAAAGATATTTCACTCAGCTCATGATTTCATCAAAGTTTGAACAAACAGATGTACACAAAAATTATTTTTTTGTACCCAGTCAAGTTCAGCTTGATTCAGAAATACGTTGTTAATTCCACAGTGTTAATAAATATTGTGACTTTAATTATAATGCCCTTTTCAAAGAGTTTTTAAAGATGCTGATGGATAAGAAAAGGGCTGATCTCCTGTAGTGATCAGTATTACAGTGTATCTGAAAACACCTCTGACTGAAGACAATTTATTGGAGTATGACTGTTTGATTAAGAGAATAATATTGTAATGTTTTTCATTTTATGAACAATCTTTATTGTCCCAGGTAACAGAAGAGTCCCCAAACAGTCAGTGTTCTTTATTTTCATTGTTGAGCTTATTAGACACTGTTCTGGAGATCCTAAAGGACAATGTCAGTCAATCAGTTTGTGACATAAAGATCAATTTGACAATGATCCAAAACACAAAGCAGGTTCACCTCTGAACCAACATAGTGAAACTACGGACTTGAATTTGTTTGTATTTTCCCATGTTGTCTTTTCTGAAATTAAATCCTTTATTTGGATTACAAGACATTTTTCTACTCTGCAGATCTTTACAGAAACCTTTGGTTACATAGACACTGGTATTATTACATCCTCCCACTGTGACCAGATCTCCTTTCTAACTGGACAGGCCTCAACAGGAAAATTCATCTCCATCACAAATGTCTAAATTGCAGGTTTCCACTCCTGACCAGAAACATTCCCTCCAAAATGTTAAAATTGATTATTTTCTGGCAAACCTGAGGAATTCCACAGTCCATCGACAACTCTGCAAAAAACCATCACTTTTTACATAATCTGTAAAAACCTTATTGCTGCTCCTAAAATCAGGAGATGTGGAATATACTGACAGAAGTTAATCGCATTTTAAAGCATTACCTCATGCTTTGTTGAGGAATTAGCATGTGAGGTGAAAAATCCGTTGCCCTGAGGCATGTTGCACAGCATAGAGGGAAAAGGTGCATCAAGGAGGGGGAAGGACTCAAAACCTACTGATCTGCTTTTATCCATGACACGTTGTCATTTCTCTTCCCCTACTTGTGCATACTTACATATATTTCCATGCAAAACAATGGCCATTCTCCATGGACACACACACACACATGCACACACTCCAGAAGTTCAAACACCTGCCCGTGGAACTGCACCTCTTCTCGCTGAGGTAATGTAGGAGGGAAACACATTCCTCAGCCTATTTCCCTCCTCCCCTCTGAGTATATTACATCTTTACAACTAAATAAACTCAGTCTTTGAATCGTTTCTGTCTGGGTTGGATCCTTTCTTTTGATGTGTATACTTCAGAATGTTGTGGTGGAAGAGGTCTTCAGCTTCTGTGAAAATGTCTGGTATGTTCAAATATAAATTTATCTTTTACTTTTAGAAAAATTAAAGTTCTCAAATGTCTTCATATTCAAGTGTAAATCTACAGTGTTCGTGTGGACGGCAGATACCTTGCAGTAGCACTATTTCAACATCCTGGCTTGAATATTTATTATGAGACGTGTCTCTTCAAAAGGTTTTGTATGTCTCCTTACTTGTGCTGCAACAGTATCTGAACTTTAGATTGTCTTTTCAAGATTTTGACTCTGATTTTAAGACTTCTTGTTGGGAAAGGGAAAGAGCCCAGAGACACAGGCGAGGAAAGGGTGTGATGGCTGCAGCCAAGAATAGCAATCCACCAGGAAAAAACAATGTGTTTTAAAAAAATGCCTTTGTGAAAAAAGGAAGAAAAATGTCTGACAGCCTGGGTTGTGAAAACCAGTGTTTATGCCAATGGGCATTTAATCTGATAGACATTCAATCTGCAAAATGTATAAGAAATCATTATTTTTTCCTGAGTTATTAAGTGCATATAACCACGACACAGTTTGTGCATACCCACAGATTTCTCCTGCTTTTGTTTTTTTGTTGCACTAAAATGTTTCAGATCATCAAACAAATTTCAACATCACAAAGATAACAAGAATAAAAACAAAATGCCAAGATGAAAATATATCTGCATTCCTTAAATAATTTATCAACTGTGCTTTATTTTGTTTTTGGTTCATTTTCAGGACACAAAATACTACCAAACCTGTCGTCCAGAAGGAAAATGACTGGTCAAATCAAAGCCTGGATTAAATATAAAACATTTTGAATGACTCTGTTTAGACCATTTGTCCTTGAAAACTATCAAGTGTTATTAAATTAAACCAATTGTACCGAGAAGAGTGGGCCAAAATTCCTCTGCAATGATGTAAAAGTCTCATAGCTTGATAGGAGTTGTTACAGCCAAGGGAGGCACCAACAGTTCTAAAGTTTAGTTACAATTGCTTGGATAGATTTTTTCTTTTAATAAATAAAATCAACTAAAACATATTATCTGGGAACCTAATTGTTAGGGATCAATAAATCAAGTCAATTTAATGACTTTCAGCTCGTTTTTTTTTTTTTGTCATCTTAATACATGCAGGGTTGTTAAAGGTTAAAGTGCCTCCATACTGACAGTCATTTTGAATTGCAGGGACAACAAGGCTGGGGAAAAATGTGATATTCACTGATGCTGCTTGATTTTACTGTGTTGAAATTTGTTGGGAATAGGTCAGAGGTTAATCATCAATGCCAGCCTCAGAATGGCAGCTTTGCATCCAAGAGTTGTAGCAGAAGTTTCAGTCTTCAGTTTGTTCGTTTTGCAAATCCAGATTTCTGTGATTGTAACACATGCCTACTGTATGTTAGTGACAGTTTGCACATGTGAAAACATGTGAGCATGAGTGAGTTAGTCCAAAACTCAGTCTTTTATTCTTCTCTGTGCAGGAAACCCAAAGCATTTGTGGATTACAAATGCTTTTACCAAGCTGTTGGTATAAGTTCATCAGCTTCACCTGATTCCATTCGTCAGACTGTTTTAATAACATAATGTCATGATGACAGCAGGACTTGCAGTCGCTGAGGAGGAGATCGGCAATGATGGTTAAAAGTCCAGTGGTTGCACCACGTGGTCAAGAGAAGTCTAACCGGCATATTTACCCACAGGCTGTGGATGTCTTTCTAAGTGAAGTGCAAGGACAAGTTCCCCCCTGCCCCAATTCAACACTCTAACAGCCATCTGAGAGCCATGTCTGGGCCTGCTTCTCTCTTTGATGCCACGCTGGATCCTGTGGCCGGTCAAGTTAAACACTGGAAGGATCTGAAGATCGACAGCACGTCTGGCCTCAGTCAGAGTGTTTACACACCTTCTGGATTTGCTCCAGAGGACATAGAGGTGACAGATACTAATGGTGGAGATGCTGCTTGGAGTGGTTCTCTATTTTTAGAACAGAATGTGAATAAAAGAGGAGCTGCAGCACCTGAGCAGCAGGAGGAGCCCCCCGCGGTGACGCCCCATCCTGCCGAGATCCCTTCTGCCTTTTCAGCACTCTTCGACACATCCTGTGACAACCATCTGTTTGAGTGTGTGAACTCGACAGAGGACACTTCACCGGACGTGCTTCGAATAATAAAACATAAACCAAGTGCGATTGTTTTTTGCGATTATGAAGGCAGCCTTGCCACTGTTATGAAAGAGAGTTCTGACAGCAGGGAGTCCTCCTCTTCCTCCCCCGCTTCTAAAGAAGAGAGTGAAGATGAAGAGGCTGATGTTGATGAATTCCCTGAAACTTTGCAGTACAAGGAGTTTCTGGTCAGTCGCCATCGTAGGAATTTGAACAAAAACAGAAAGTTTCTGAGGAAGAGACCAGAGGTTCTGCCTCATGGCCCTGCAGCTGACCGGCCAAAGACCTCCAAGAGCAACATGAGACTGGAGTGTGCAGGTGGCAAGGAGGAAGAGGACACACGGCAGGTAAATAAAAACAGCTGGTATTTTTCTTGACCTCAGTATTTTATTGTATACCTAAGCTTTATTTAAAGTGGCTTTCCATAAAATTCACTGTTGTTTTCACAAACAGAGGACCTTGTTCCACCTGTTTGTGTCTGTGAATGGCTTATAGGAGGTTTTAAATTAATATCCACACGTTACAGAATTAATTTATTTAAAAAAAAAGTATGGATGATTTTTCTTCCACAGATACGCAATTCATTGCGATAAATCTGTTTGCAACACAAAAATTCCAACAGAATACATTGAAGGTTCTGGCTGTAATTGTAACAGAGAGCTCTCTGTTACATAAGGCAACAAAATGCAAGTAAAAGTTCAAGCATGTTTATGTTTCTTATTGTTGGTCATTCTTCTTTACTTGATCAGTCACTAAATGATAGAGTGAGCAAGGTTCAGTCTAGTCGTCAACTACCATGAACATGAACGATGCATAATCTTAACCTCTCTGGTAATACATTTTGTACCACTAGAGAGCAGCAAAGTCGAACATTTCCAGATAATTTAAAATTACCTCATTCCTGCTTAGGATCAAGATTTTCTGTATAATAATGATGTATCTTAAAATACTGTTAAGATGTGATAAATTCACAAGTCAAATGTCTTAATTTAGTCTGTATACTGTAAATAATATTTAAATATAAACATTGCAAAATTAATAGGCTTTCATTACATTGTTTTTGTGAGTACATTTTTGATTTCTTTTATATTATTTCAGACAAAAACAACCATTTTCTCTTTTTTACTGTAGTAAATCTACAGTCAGTATTCTTTAGAGAAAAGTGAAAATGTCCAATTAGGAGTGATTCTATCTCAGAAATACTGTCTGTAATAAATTCCTTTCATATTTTCCTCTTGCACTGCCTGGCATCTGTTGTGACCCTGCATGCACTGCACCAGCAGTCATTCCTTAAAGCGAGTGTGTCCCTAACTTTGTTCTCACACCTGTCAGATTGCTCCCACCCCAAACCCCAGTCTCAGGCACTCTCCCATAACGGCCCTCTTGCACTCTGCTCCCTCCTCTCTTCCTGAAATGAAAGGATTATCTCTGCCTGCACCGCCATTGTGATGATGTTTCTACAGTTTGGCTGAACAATACCTTGCTGAAGGACTTGCAGAAAATCCCATTTATACACCTGCTTAAAAGTTTAAGGTTTACAGTTGTTGTTCCAGTTACTAAGGCATTTAGACTCTCCTGGTTTTCTTGGACTTAATTGTTTTATTGACAGAAACTATATCTATAAAGTATAGGAAGTAAAAAAATAATGCATTCTGGTGGAAAATTCCAAAGAACATGCCATCTTTAGGCTAATCAGAGATAATTTAATGCGGCAAAAAGGCTGAAATGTTTGTCTGTAAGACTTATCCCTAAACTAATAAACAGGAAAACATAAAAGATTCACCGGATACTAAATTAACCGTCACCTTCATCAGCAAATCAATCCCAGGTTCATCCCTTTGTTTGCTTAGCTTTTTCATTTGAAATTCACTTGAAAAAAGCCAAATACACATAGTAGTAGTTATTTATAACAGCGTTTAATTCTTTTGTATGAGTCCAATAATGAATTGCTGCTTTAAGCATTGATGAATTAAAGACCCTCTCCCCCTGTGGACGCTCTGGACAGAATCTTATTAACATTTCATGAACTTGGAGAGCACACTGCTGTGTCTGTGTGTCTATGTGTGCTGCAGTGCATTAGCACATTTATGTGTCAGTGACTTTCAGCATGTGTACATGCTGGCAGTCATTCTTGTAACTGAAAAGCCTCCAGTGGTTGTGTTCCCCCACCTCGCCCTGGATCTGTCCCCCACAGTGAGGGTAAAAATAGCACCCTGCTGTGCACAGACAACCTTCTGTGCTCCTGTGCTGCGTAGGAATCTGGGGGATGTGGGGGCCGCAACACACAGGAAATGGTTTTACTGCCAAAGCAGTTACTGCAGATATTTTTTAAGCTGGTTGACATGATAGTTTTGGGACTGGAGAAAAGGGTGTGTTTGTGAGCGTGAGTGGGTAGATGAGTGGGTGGGTTGTGTTGTGAGTGCATGCTTGTGAGTATGCATGTAGCTGTGTGAGTGAGGGGGCTGTTTATGGACTTCAGTTCTTTCAAAGGGTCTTTATATGCTGCTATCAGCCTATGGGACTCTGAAATTGGCAATGGAGCTCAGAAACAAAGCAGTTTGTTCATTTCCTGGAAGGCCAGCGAACAAGCATCTCAGTCAGACTTAATTACCACCAGTTACTGACAAAGTACAGAAATGATTTAGACCTTTGCATAACTTTAGCATGGGCACATCCAGCATCTCACATTGTGTACATTAATGCTTATAACCTCTAGGTCTATATTTTGTTTTTATTCTTAAGCTGCACATTCTGTTGTCCTCACAGAATCACCATTGATTTGTATCACAAGTCAGACTGAAGAATGGATCATTGAGGGAATGAAGGTTGGAATGACTGAATGAGGAAGAGAAGTGTTGAGTTTTAGGTTCATCCAAAGAGGTGCACATGAATTGCCTGCTACCTTGAGCTGTGCTTACTGTCATTTCCATTTATTTTGTGTTTTGTCTTGTGTGCTCAGGAGTGTGACTCCATGATCCTGCTGATGAAAAAATTGGATCACCTCAGTGAGGGAATGCAAAACATTCAAAACTGTAATTCCTCCCACATAAATGACATTCGAGTCAAAGAGGAGCAGCAGGGCACCAAGGTAAGCCTGATTTAGATTTGCAGCACATGTGAATAGCTTCATAAATACAGATGGTGTCATCCTCGGCTCATCTGAGCAAAAACCACAAGGTTATGAATAGGAATGTAATACATTTTGAAAGCTCTCTATGTTAACTTTAAACAACACAAACACTGTCCATTTGTTTTCTTTCATTGTAGGCTTACAAGTTATTCGATTTATTAGACTCTTGTTTTTAGCTACCAAGCTATTTATTTAGATTATTAGAATTTTGCTTTGACTGTATATTCATATCTTCCAGGATGGAGGGATAATACAACATGAAACCTCGTTGAGTTTGAAAGACAGAAGTTTGGTGCACAAATTGAATTAATTAAGGATTTTGTCTAATCAATACAGGTTAGAAATAAATCTACTCTAAATACACTCTGTGTCTAAATACACATTAATTTATTTTAGGTAAATCTCCCTTAGGGATCTGAAGCAATACCAGAATCATTTTTTTTGCCTTCAGCATGCTCCTGGCAGTCTGGGAGTCCAGCCTTATTTGCAGAACCGGTACAGCCCATTTAACTGCATTGTGTCCTGGCATAATCTACAAATGTTCGGAGTTTTGCAGGTCAGGGCTTTAGGGAGGCTTTTCCAGAAGCTTAATGTTAGTCTGCTTTATCCCTTTCTGAAACACTCTGGATGTCTGGATGCATGTTTGTGATCATTTTCCTGCTGGAACACCCCATTAGGCCCACATTCCAGTCATCCAGCTGCATGTTCAAAGTTGTTCCTGATCATCCTAATAAATTTATTTTCATAAAGGGTGACAGTTTGGATCTTTCTCCAAGCCAAACAAAGAGGTCAAACAAATCAATAATTGGTATTTATTACTGATTCTTGCAATCTGCAATTGTTTAATAATGGATCTAACTGACTTTCCCAACTTATTTAAATCTAGAATTTTCTGTACGTCTACGAGATTTGGAATTTTTCTTTCCCAAGTATTTCTCAAATGATTCAGAGATTTTTAGGTCATCGAGGAGAAATTATCAAATGAAGACAATTACAACCATTAAGAAGAATTTCTGAGGCATTAGGTTTATTAATTTTAAACCAATCTTAGAACCTTTAGCATCACTTATTTAAAAAAATATGCTGAATATTTATATATTATTTTAAGTTGCTGATTATAGAAACACTGTAAAACAAACAAACAAACAAAAAAAAAACCCAACCATATGCATCGAATAGTTCAATGTTTTATAATTATTTAATCACCCTGGAAAGGAGAACATCCAAAATGGATTTGGCATTCATGCTCATGATGACTGTGCATTAATTTTTCACTAGAAAAGTAAATTATAATCCGATTGGATTTCCATGCCGTTCGTGTGGTAAAATAACTTCTTCCACAGAAATAACAGATGTCAAATCATGACTTGGTGGAGCTTTAAAGGCATAGCAAAAATATTTTGTGGACCAAAAGATCACAGTGGCCCTCATGCTGTTCTTTTCCTGCATGACATTCTAGATGCTTCACTATCCTTACTGAGTGTAAATGAGTTAACCTCAAATAGTTTTCAAACCATGTAAACTGAAGGAATGCTCATAAAATTGCTGAAATTACACCACAACAATCCCATTTAAGCTGTTTTGCTTGTTAGAGAAACAGCGGTGCAATGAATTATGTTGACACATTTAGCAGTTTTCCTCATTGTCTGCTAATTCAGTGCAGAAGTGCAATGTTATTGAGCATCATGACATGTATGAGTGGACATGTAGAAATGGGATTATAGCTTGTTGCAGAACATTTTTAGAAAATATATAGAAATTAGTTTTTCTGCATATTATTAATAAATTTCAAGATGTTGCATAGCAGATTTTTAAATTCTGCCAAAGTTTCCTTCAGGCATCAGTCTGTTTATTATCATTATTATTATTATTATTTTTTTGCTGTACAAGAAAAGACCTCAATGATCTTTGCAAACTGTTTACCAGAATAACTCAAAACTATTTACATGCCACCTCATTGTCTGGGGAACAAATAAGTGATCAGTCTAATGTAAAACCATCAAAATACCATGTGGGTTGTGGAACTCATGTCAGTACATATACATTTACCAAGGGTGTAATTTAATAATTAAAATGTGTAGACTGCAGCCTACCAAGACATGATGAGCATTAATAAGGGAAGCAACCAAATGTCCCTTGGCAACTCTGTGGAAGATGCAGTGATCCACAACTCGGGTGGAAGAATCTATTGGTAAAATAACTATTAGTTAATCACAGTAAATATTTTTGGTCTGTTTGGAAGTGACCAAAAGATATATATTGTCAAAAGAAAGCCATAAGAAGTCTCTTATGCCCAATGGTATCAACTGAAGTCAAAGCTTGACACACAGAAATGAATCTGGTTTGTGTAAAACTTGACCTCTTCAGTGTTTATGGTAAAACATCTTAGCTGTCAGAAGGGGCAAAAACTGGCAATGTCTGTAGAGAGGTAATCAATGTCAAGTGACAGGAATGTAATGCTTTGACCGTTTTAAAAACAATGTTGTCAGTTTCAGTGCATCCAGAAGAAAATAGATCACATTAAAATTCTTTTAGAAAACAAGCTGCACAAAAGAACCTGGCCTGAGGTTGTACTGGACCTTCTGAAATGGTGATCCCTGACATTCACTGGGGGGTCAAGTGGTAAAAAATGTTTAACAGGAGACAATATAAACATTTTAAGGAGACCCAGCCAGAGTCCAGGAATGAACCTTGTCTAAAATCCACTGCTGAGACTAAATGAGTCAGGACAAATTTAATTTTCTGACCTTAATCTGATTATTGCAGGACTAAATGCTTCAGAAACATGTCAGCATTATATGATTGACTTTTAATGGTGAAAGCATTCTGTGATCGATTGCAAAAAATGCTTTGGATAATTTAGGAAACAACTTTCCATCATTTCATATCTAATGCACCATTTGGCTTCTGCAGGGATCATTTGTAACCGGAAAGATCAGTAAGTTAAATGGATCTTAATGTTCTGTAATTGACTTTTCATACACACTATTAAAAGCAGGCATGAATAAAAATATCAGGTTAAAAATGCCATGTGAAACATCCAAAAAGAGAAATTAAAATGAGAAAATTTCATCTCTCGTTTTTTTTTATTTTTATTTTTTTATTTTTGCCATAGTGGAACACCATGTTGCTGACACATCTCCAACCACACAATGGGAGCATTAGCAACAGCATTGTTTGTCACCAGGATGGGAATCCTTTGTAAGATCAGAAAGGGAATTTTCTGAAAACAGAATCATTTTGTATCGAAACAAGCAGAAAATAATCTCTTTGTGAGTATTTGTGAAATAGATTCTCTTATACAGAAATGAAAGTCATTCCTCCCTCTCCATCAGTTACTCATGCATCTTATCAGCTCAGTGTTTGACTGGAAGCGGGAAGCGGGAAGCACATCAGCGGGTATTCCCACTGAATTGGTGGCAGTAGTTGAGTGGAGGGGTCAAGCTGGATCGGACTTTCCACTGTTGTCAATGAGCTGAATTTAGGCAGCGGAAGGAGAGCCAAGATTAGGGTGGGACTTTTTCCAGAATGTGAGAAGGAACGATAAATTGTCAGCAAGGTCTGAAATCTTGAATCACTTCACATCATCACCAGCTTCATAAGTTACTGGACAGAAACCAGAGAAACAGATCTGCTGATGAGACGGGCAGCATGAAGACATGGGGAGCGGTAAGAGGCTGAAAGAGACAAATGTTTAGTCTGCTGCTGAATGGGATGAGCTATAGATCTTAATGTGTTTTACCCTGAGACGTGACGGTTTCCTGAATTAAAATGTAGTAAATATGTTTGTTGCTTACTGCTGATACACACTGAAAATGCAGGAGACTTGCTAAGTTTTACAGAATTTACCCTATGACTGATTAACATAATAAACATTTAAAACTTGATAGAAGTCATATTGTTCTGGTGCTTCTCAACTTTAGTAATAATTATTGTGGGCTGCACAGCTGCACAGTTGCTACCTGGTTCCCTTACAGGTAAACAGTAGCAGATGCTCTGCTTGGGGTCGTGTCGTACCCATTTCTGCGTGGTTTCTTTGTGGGTATTTACTCCGACAGCTAGGTTAGATGTTTACTTTAAACTGCCGTGAGGTATGAGTGTGTGTGTGTGCGCGTGTGTGTGTGTGTGTGTGGTTGTGTGTGTGTGTGTGGGTGTGTGTGTGTGTGGTTGTGTGTGTGTGTGTGTGGGTGTGTGTGTGTGTGTGTGTGTGTGTGTGTGTGCGTGCGTGCGTGTGTGTGTGTGTGTGTGTGTACGTGTGTGTGTGTGTGTGTGTGTGTGTGTGTGTGTGTGTGTGTGCATGGTTGTTTATCCTGTGTGCCCTATGATGAACATGGCTACCCTGCTTCGATAAATGGGTATAAAAAGAAAATGAGTAGATTATTGCTAAGTTGTCTAATAAATTGAATTGGGGTATTTTATTTTTTATGTACTTCTTATATACCACTTCTCAATCTTGTTCATGATTATTTCTTTTATTTTTATCCATCTGTACTGTTGTATAGCAACAAGCTGAATCTATAAATAAGATAGTGTCCAGATACTATTAATACACTGTTGTTTATTGGACACCGTACAACAAATAAATATCAAAAGCTCAAAATACCACTAATTATTACAAGTTCTATGATGAAGAAATCAAAATGTCAACAGTAAAAATCAAACATATTCTCGAGCAAAAATACCAAAACTGTATCATCTTTGCTAAAACTGTGACCTATAACTGTGAAATGTTTCAGTTTATAAACTTGAGGGACACCACAGACAACTGAGCAAGTCTGTGATGAATAACTTTAAACTGCATTTAGTAAATGTAGTTTAAAATCATCCAGGAGATGTGATTTAAACCAGAGATGTGGAGACTATACAAGAAGTGCAGTTTTAGTTTTAAGGGATGGGCGTCATAGAATAGTATATAAATGAAAGTGTGCAGAGCATGCTCTGTTATTAATGTATTTTTCAAAAGTTAAGTTGCTCTTGGGTGTAACATCAAAACTCTTAAATTACAAGAAAATAAAGGTTAGAGGACAATCAGCACCAAGAGGATATTTTCTGTATTCATCCAAGAAACAAAACAAAACCGTCTGATTTTTCACCAGAAAAACTTCTATGTAATCTCACAAAATTAGCAAACAGTTTCACATTGAAAGATTAAGAAATTTACATAAACTGTTAAGCGTGGTAACACCACTGACAGTTGATCAAAACTGTGAACATTCTTATGATTTTTAATATATGATATGAAGTATGAGAAATTTGGTCAAAAATACAACTCGGATCAATAAAGAGAAAGACGTTGTTTGGTATCTACAC